GAGAGAGAGAGGGAGAGAGAGAGAGAGAGAGAGATACGAGAAGTAGTCTGACAGAGATAGAGAGATTAAAACGGATAGATATTTAGAGAGATAAACAGACAGAGATAGAGATAAGCTAAGAGAGATAGAGGGAGAGAGAGAGACAGAGAGAGACAGAGAGACAGAGAGACAGAGAGACAGAGAGAGAGGGGGAGAGGGGGAGTGGTAGAATGGTAGATAGACAGATAGATCGATAGATCGATAGATCGATAGATAGATTGATAGATAGAGAGATAGATTGACAGAGAAAGAGAGAGAGAGAAAGAGAGAGAGAGAGAGAGACAGAGAGAGAGAGAGAGAGAGAAAAAGACACGGAGATAGAAAGAGAAACAAAGAGAGAGACAGACAGACAGACAGACAGAGGGAGCGATCAATCAATCAATCAATCAATCAATCAATCAATCAATCAATCATTCGATCTCCTCCTCCTCCACCCACCGTTCCACTCTGCTCGTCCTCCATGTACCCCAGCAGGGTTATCTCCACCTCAGCCTGGCCGCCCCGCGGAGAGAAGTTCTCGGGGTCCCACACCATTGTGATGGTCTCGGCGTCCCGGGAGGGGCCAGAGAGAGAGAGAGAGAGAGAGAGAGAGAGAGAGAGAGAGAGAGAAAGACAGACAGACAGACAGACAGAGAAACAAAAGAGACATAGAGAGAGAGGGAGAGAGAGAAAGAGAGAGAGAGAGAGAGAGAGAGAAAGAGAGAGAGACAGACAGACAGAGAGAGAGAGAGAGAAACAAAGAGGCATAGAGAGAGAGAGAGGGAGACAGAGAGAGAAGAGAGAGAAAGAGAAAGAGAAACAGACAGACAGACAGAGGGTCGATCGATCAATCAATCAATCAATCAATCGATCAATCAATCATTCGCTCGTTCCTCCACCCACCGTTCCGCTCTGCTCGTCCTCCATGTACCCCAGCAGGGTTATCTCCACCTCAGCCTGGCTGCCCCGCGGAGAAAAGTTGTCGGGGTCCCACACCACTGTGATGGTCTCGGAGTCCTGGGAGTACCACTGCTTCTCTATGGCGTCGGGGACTGGAACTGGTCGCTCCATACGGTCCGGCAAAACTTAGGGGGGGGGAGGGATGGTTTAAGTGTTTTTTTTCGGGTAGACGGGTGGGGGTAGTTAGGGAGTGAAGAGATACAGTTTATTTTTGAAAAATTGAGATTCGTTATTTGATTTTGAAATAAATTTTTGGCAAAGTGGAGGGGAGGAGGAGGAGGAGGGGGGTTAAATGGACACAGTTTAGGCTTGAAAAATTGAGATACATAGAATGAGTTTGAAAAAAAGAAAGGATTAGAGGGGGGAAAGGAGAGGGGGGGGTACAACTTACGTTTGAAAAATTGTGATACATAATTTGAGTTTGAAAATAGATTTAGGGTGGGAGGGAAGGGGAGAGGAGGTTGGACACAGTTTGAGTTTGAGTTATAATACGATATGGCATGGTATGGAATGATATGGTATGGTAAGGTATGGTATGCCACGCCATGCCGTGCCATGTCATGCCACGCCATGCCACGCTACGCCACGCCACGCCACGCCACGCCACGCTACGCTATGCTATAATCTGGTATGAGTCTGCTATAGTCTTCTATACTATGCATTGATATACTATAGTATGGCCTGGTACAGTCTTCTATGGTATGCTATGCTACAGCCATGTTACAACACAACTCGTTCCCTCTCCGTTTTCGTTTGACTCACCCACAGTGATACTTCGGTGAGTGCTCCACTCGACTCCGTCGGAAGACCAGGAGACGACTGTCGGTCCTGTCCACGTCATTCTGGGCACAGGGCAGAATCCCTTCATGCCGTTACGCATCTGACCTTCCGTCTGGACATACAGTTTGACAGGTGCCGAGGGGTCGTCGTAGCTGAAGCGGCAGTGGACAGGATTGCTGTTTCCCGCGCATTTGCCAGACACCTCAAGTAGCTCCCCGCCAAACATGCCCACCTCGCGCGGGTAAACTTCCAGGGTACCTGAGGTTGCAGGATGTGATCACGTAACTAGTGAATGGGCTAATCAGAAACAGACGAAGGTTATGCTTTAAATTCGCTTTTAAATGGAATGTATGAGAGTTATAGTGTAGTTTGGTCTTTTTGGCGTGTGATGGTGTTGGGGTGGGGTAGGCTTAGGGATGTGGGTGGAAATGTTAATTTAAATTACGCACGTTAAATATCTAAAATCGATAAGAGTAGGCTTCGGCCGCCACCCGGGCAAAATTCAAGTTTACTTCCTATCTAACTGAAAATGCGTAATGTGTCTCGCACGCTCATATGACCGCATGCAGTTGTGAGAGCAGTTTAACAAAAAAACTTACTCAAAACAAAACAAATAATAAGGTACTTAGACTACACACCAGCCACAAGCTCTGGGGGCAGACAGCCGCCTCTGATGATGACCTCGTGACCAACACTGAGGATGTAGCGGCCCATGACATCACTTCCCGTGTGACTCGGCAGGTCGTTCACGTTGGAGGCGTTCAAATTGGCCAGGCATTCCTCCTGGCAAGGGATCACATTGTACCAGCCTCGACGGTACCCTCCGTTAAAGCCAGCCTGGTTGTCGGTTCAAAGAATTTTAAAAAAGGATTAGGGTGGGTTGGTGGGTCGGGTGATGATGAGGGTGTAGAGTGGGGTGGG